AGAGAGAGAGAGAGAGAGAGAGAGAGAAAGATAAAGAGACAGAGACAGAGACAGAGACAGAGACAGAGACAGAGACAGAGAGAAAATCATAAGTAAGATAAAAGGAGAGGTTCAGAGAGAGACACAGAACAGAGGGGCAGACAGATATAGACAAAAAATAATAGCCCCCACTCTCTATCTCACTCTGTAGCATACACTATTAATAACTTAACTTGTACCTTTACTAAACACACAACATAACTTGCTTAACCCTTTGCAGTCCCCTCGCCAGCAGTACAAATTACCCCATCTGGTCACCCAGCCAGGAGAGTGACTGCAACAGACTCCTCGGGCCAGAGCAGAAATGAGCCAGGGGACCTGAACGGATAATTTTCACCGGCGCATTATTGCGTTAAGTGACTGCAAAGTGTTAACCTGAACTATTACTAACCTACCTGTGCCACATCCAACTTAAACAGCACCACATCTTACTACAGTTGAACCTGCTCTAATGACCACCTGCTCAAGACAATCACTAGTTCAAACAACCACTTCCCCTCCTTTTGTTTTTTTCTGTACCATTATAATGACCCTGTCCAAAAAAGACCACCCGTGTCAAATGGCAACTTTCCCCCTTGACAACGAATACGTTCTACTGAACTGTATGTATGTGAGTCAACCCTACCTGATCACGTCGTACGTGTCAATCAGAGCCAGGAACCCATCAGGGAAAGCGCAGGCGTAAGAGATAAAAGCGGCCAGCTCACCCTCGATGGTCTGGTCTGGGAGGAAGTCTGAACAGAGAAACAAACCAAAAGCAAGCTGTTAACTCATTGAACACGCCAATCCTACCCATTCAAATGCTTGGAAAAGCTTATCTTCGAGTTATATCCATTCAGATTTTCCAATTCTGTTTTCTTTTTCTCAAACTTAGAAAGGCAGGAAATAACATTTATATTAATATGAAATGTCCAATGGTGTGTTTGTGGTTTGTGTATGTGGGCTTCAAATGTGCCACAACATTGACTTTAAACTGTTTTTGGTTGGACAAATGTGTCTGACGCATCCTTAAAATGTTAAAATGTTCTAAGCCCAGAAAGAAAAATTTTACAGGAGGGAGAAAAGACTGTTGTTTCATTCTTTCAATGATTGCACCGACTACATTATGTTTTTAGGGGGTTTTTAAAAACTTTTTTTCAGCATTAGAATTTAAATTTTAATAGAATATTTCTTGTGCACATTGTAACCAATACCACAGATTTAGAAACTGTAATTAAAAAAACATTTTCAACATTTTGGGCTTAGAACATTTTAACAGCTTGCTGGTGAAACACTTAGCATTATTGATTCATACCATGAACCTACCAACTGTAACTTCTCACCACCCATGTGCAAGGCAGATTAAAAACGTGTATTATTATCTGTTTTGTATCAAATAAGGTCACAAATATTCACCCAACATTATTCTGCCCTCTTTTCTCAAAAACACATCACTAATGGCTGACAAAATGAGCCACAACAATGTTGAAACTTATTATTGCTTTCCTTGTTAAAGTAAAGAGAAACACATTGACAGGATGCTAGTCAATCAGTGGAGGGGAAAAACAAGACAGACAGAAAAAAACAGAGAAGAAGAAAAGAAACAAGACTAAGGAGAAGCCAGACAACACACACACACAATTTTCTGCAACATATTTACAGGAATGAAATACGATTTGTCAGCTACTCTCAAGCTATCAATGAGAATAACAAAACTATAAAAGATCGCCTACCTATAACAGACGAGAGTTCTTTCTTGTAAGTGAGGCACAGACTCACAAAGTCAATCTCTTTGCTGCCGTCCTTTGATTTCAAATTCTGGGAGATTAAGAGACACAAAACTATCACACACATATGGCATTATATTCCACTTAACAGAGTAAGAAATGTTTTTATAAACTTTAGATTATTGAAAAGCTGGGATTCATCACAAAATTAAAAAAACAACTCATTTTCAAAGGTCAAAGTGAATTTGGATGACTACAGTAGTTACTAAGCAAGCTGTAACTTAACACTTTACGGTCACTTGACGCAATAGCCAGTGAGAATTATCCGTTCCGGTCACCTGGTCAAATTCTGTGCCAGACTCGAGAAGTCTGTTGCAGTCACTGTCCTGGCTGTGTGACTGGATGGAGTATTTTGTACTGTTGGCTGTGTGACTGCAAGTGTTAATTGAAGACCAAAATATTTGATATCCAACACTGTATTTGGCGACAAGGTTTGCAACTTACAGCAACAATTATGATAAGACATCAAGATTCCCCAGTCACCCAAGCACGCTCATATGACCTTATACAGTTGAAAGTACCAAAAAGCTCTTACAACAAAAAAGTAAAAAAACTAACCCGAGTTTGAAGGTCATTGAGTGTGATGAAGGAAGTGACGAAGGCATGAGCGTGGGTGCCCCTCACAGGGATGCCAAACATCTTGCCTGCCAAAACATTGCTGGTGCCATCGAAGCCTGGAAATTTGGAACATAGTATTTCACAACAACAATTTTAATAATAATAATGATAATAATAATAATAATAATAATGATGATAATAATACACACACATATATAAACAAAAATAGCAGTAATAACAATAAACTTAATTTTAGAATACCACACATATTAATATTATTAATATAATGATTATCAATTATATCTGTATTACTATTATAATTGATAGTATATCAATAATGACATTAGTAATAACAACAATAATGATTAATTTGTAACAAAGACAGAAATGAAAATAATAATAGCAATGTTATAATTGTGTTCACCAGGGAATAAAAAAACATAGAGAAGTACTTTTATTACATAGCAAAGGACATAGCAAGTTCAGACAACTAACAGAAATAAAAGATTGGAAAAAAGTAGCACCACCCTCCAGCCGCCCTCTCTAACGCACTTCCACTTACATCAGACCTATCTGTGAAATTGTCACAAAGCAAAGCTGCAACCATCTGTTACTGTATTGTCCTCACAACACAGATCGCCAAAAGTAAGACATTTACATAAATTTGCATATATTAACCCATCGATACTATGTCTCCAATTCATGTGGAGAGGAAATAGAGAGCTCAAGCCGAGGTATTGGGAAAAAGATATGCTTATTGATACACTGACAGCCATGTAAGTGTCAGTAGCAACAGAGCAAACAGGTACAGCAGCAGAGCAATATTCTTTGCACTATCATTATTACCATTCTCCTGCTCCTCAATATGCGAGTGATGCAATAACGCATTAAACTGAAGGTTAAGAAAGAGACAGGGAGCAAACATCCATCCTCCTCCCCCACCCTCCTCCCCCGCAAATGGCCACTACAGATTCAATTAATCACAGGTCAATGTAAAGGTATAATAGTTCTTTATTTTAAAGGAAAGGCAGACAAAATGTCCATCTCCGAGAGAACCAGACAAAATTGGCAGACTGACAGCCTTAAAAAAACTCCCTAAAAGAGTTCATAATAAATCATTGAGGGACTCAACCAAGACCACCTGCTCTACAGACCATCAAGATTCAAGCAGAGCTAACAGTGCGCCCACTCCCAAGTCTTAAATATAGAAAAATTACACACCCAAATCTAAAGTGCCTTACAAGAGCGACGAACAACAGCTACAGTAAAATGAACCAGCCTATCTCTCTTTGCAACGACAAGCAGGCTGAAATTCAAGAGAGAAACATGCAAAAAACTAACAGTAACAGTTGCAACTCTGTAATTCTAGATATCGTACATAGAATAGATAACCAGATAAAATATAGATTACAAAGTGCATAAGACTTGCTGTTAAACCGGGATTTTATAAATACAAATGTCACAATTAATGTTTCAATGGAAACGAGAAAAAGTTACAAAACAAGGTACAAAGTTGGAGATGACATTAATGTGAACTCATTAGAGAGCATAACACGACCACCGAAGAAAACCATCGGAACCCATTCTTCCACCCTCAGTTCTGTTCCCTCACTTACCACCAAGATAGCAGTAGCGAGAGGCAGAGAGGCCTCCGTCAGGTCCCTGTGCTCTCCGTAGACCAAACTCCAACAGCACCGTCTCCGGACCGGCGGCCATGCGGAACCTCGCTGCATTCGTGGCCACCAAGCTGGAAGAAAAGAGTGGAATATATATTCCAATGAAATAGTTTCTCTGCCATCATCTTTCAATAAAGTGTATCTACTATCAAAATTGTCCAAGACGGCCACCCACAGTCGAGGAAAAAATGTGGTTGTCTTTGACAGGTAGACATCTTGGACAGTGTCATTATAATTTTGAAAAAAATTACAAGAGGAGACATGGGGGGTAGTCTTTCGTACAGGTGATTGTCTTGGACAGGTGGCTATTAGAGCAGGTTTGATTATACTTTCTGAACCAAAGTAAGGACTCTATAACCATCACTTTCCAAATCAGCGTATAAACTCAATAACTATCACTTCTAAAACAGAGTAAGAAATTGACTACTATCACCTTTACTTTCAGAACCAGCATATAAGTACTCTTTGACCATCATTGTCCAAACCAGCGTAGAAACTCTATGACTATCATTTTCTACACCAGCAACTCTACCTTGCATAGTTGACCAGGTTGAGGAGCGGGGTCTCCAGCAGCTGGACCACAGGCAACGGCCCCGTGATAGTGATGAGAGGGACCTTAGGGAACACCACCTCGCCCTCTGGCACCGCCTCCAGGGTCACATCCTGCGCCGACAGGGAGGCAAGGTAGTCGAAGAAACCTGGGTCCGTGCCTGGAGGCATGGCTGTTCGCAGGTACTCAATATCTTTTTGCACAGAAAAAAAAATCTTTGTAGAAAATAGGAAAAAAAGTCTCTAAGACATGTTAGAGTTATACGTATGCAGCATTCATTGATAATAATTACATGGCTTCTATAGCACCTACTCCCAAATTACGCACAAGGGGCTTTAATCAATAATGAAATCAGTCATTCCAGTGACATATCAGAGTTTAAAAACATTCAAATTCCAATATACTAATATACACACATATCAAGAAAACAAAACTGCCACCTATAGATTTATTTCTCTTGAGCTTCAACAGAATGTTGTTCTATAATAAATGAAACTTGCCAGACAGCAAAAACAGTTTAAAATATCAAGATATGTTCCAGATTCAATAGACTTATCTATTCACAGTGCTCTTAGCAATTATTTCAAATCCATGAACATAAAGCATAATATTTCTATTGCAACATATCTAAATCATTAACAAGCGTTAAGCATGTAATTATAAAATGATCTATAGTCACATCAAAAGTGGGGGATATTATGGTGAGATCGAAGAAACCAACACTTTTCTGCATGTCAGGCAATTTTCATTGAAATTTATAATTCTTAGCTCGACACCTTTTCTGTCCATTGAAAAAACATTTCCGTGTGGATTTATTAAAAACCGATGAAAGGCATGAATGTGAAATTGCAGTTTCTAAAGTTACTCAGGCTTTGGAAGTCACCAACTCTGGCTGCCATTTTCTTGCTAATTTTACCTCCGGCTCCAGGCACCCCCACCCCATTCAATTGCATACATCTTGACTTCAATTTAAGATAAATGTTTTTTGGTTTTTTTTATCAAAAGCATGACAAATGAGAATGCTTTAAGATGATACTAATAATTCCATAATCTCAAAAATTAACGAGTGCATAAGTCCACTTATTTGGGACACAAATTATATCTTTCTGGATGAGTAACAATTAAATTTCAAAGCGTCTACCAATAGCTAATGAAAAGATTAACATGTGTGTCTCGTTACTACTTACCACTCTTAGAAAAATGGAAACCTTTCAGGAGCTTAATACATTCTTCCAGTCCAGCAAAAATTGTAAACTCTCCGTGAAAGGGATTCTTCCGGAAGAACAAATCAAACACGGAAGGATCATTCATTTTTCCACTTTTCCAATAGGCGTAAGCCATAGTGATCTGGTACAAATCTGAGGAGTGAAGAAACAATCAAACTACATTCTAGGTTTACAGGAACATTGACAGCGTTTTGAGTGAACGCAAAGAGAAGTATTACTTACTAATTTTAAGCATAAAACTCATTCTCCACTTTGCCCAAAATAATGTCAAGCCTGATTATAAAGTATGACGTAGGGGTTAGAAAAATGTAAAACCAGAAATTGTCAGCTGTCCTTACACATTAGTGAGACAGGTCTAATCAAGGGAAAAATTCATAGTTTTTTTTTTTTACTGAGCAACAGAAAAATCACATTTCTACCACCCCGTCTAAAGGGTGTAATATCTCATAAGCAAGTGAGAAATAAACATATATCGACTTGATATAAAAGAAGATAAGTTCAAACTGCAAGACAATGAATATACGTGTAGATGTAGACCAACAAGTATTAGTATTCATAGACCTCCATTTCAAAAGCATTGGAAGCAGCAGTACGTGAACTTAAAGCATGATTTTTTTCCCCTCAATACCCAATGCGAAAACTGGGTCAGCTGGAGAATGGTGGGTGTTGTGACCATCAGATACACGCTGCTATTATCCCCTTTCCACCTGGACCTACCCCAAACTATTACAGAACACTTCTGAGGAGTCTCTGCCTATTAAACTTGGAACTAACTCTACCATCACCTTCAATCTTTTTAGTGACATCGTAGACAGTGAGAAGAAACTACGCCATATAATGAGCGCGCATTTGCTCCACACAGCACTACACATTGAGGCTGCATGCACCAAGCAAACATCCATGGTCCCATAGATACACTTGTATTTTACTGTACTATACAAAATGTGAAAATAAGCATATAATAATATAAAAAATATTTTCTATAATCGGAATTCCGTCACAAGCACTTAATTTGGTCTTTTAATGAAAATGAACAAATAAGGATCACTACTTTTTCAACAAAAAGCTCTTTTGCAAGTGGATACCTAAATGTGTTATCTTTACTTTGGAGAGAGTATTAGTGAATTGCCTTGAGCACTTTGGCTGTTATTTAACATTGAAGTGGGTGTACATAACCCTAATTACCACAGCTACGATACAGCTGTCTTTGGTGAAATGTAGCAAAAGAACTTTTCTAGACATTTTTTATCGTGTTGTCACAAACCACACACTGAAAACATTATCTCATAGATGGAATGCTTCATATATTGACACTCAGTTGCTATTCGTGAGCGTTGAAACAAAATGGTGTAAAATTGCTGCGGTATGTAACCCCACTCACGGTGTGAGCGTTGGTAAAGTGACCGGCAGCAGACCCCGTTCATGCTGACTTAACAGGGTACAGGGCCTGCCGAAACTAAACGAATGCAGCTCTGAAGCCTTTATTTATCCTATGATTTTCCAGATAATATGAATGAAACCAGTAAGAATGCCAACTTTAATATAATTTGATGTGTGTGTGTGTGTCACGACATGGTGGAATCAAGTGCTCGTCAATTTTTGGACTTATGGAGTTATTGATATATCATCTTAAAGCCTGTAAAAGAGTCAGTCACCAGGGAATGTCTTCCTCCACTGGAGAACTGATGGGTAGCTCTTCAATCTTGCTCGACTCCAGGCCAAGACCAAGATCAACAATACAACAGTTTGAGATCTTCTCTTCGTCAATGATGCTGCTCTTGTTGCTCATAGCGAATTAACCCTACAAACAATGATGGGCTGCCTATCAACAGCATGCAAGGTCTTTAGCTTGGTCGTCCTTGACCATCAATAATTTATAGAGGCACAAACAATCCATGCCCAGGTGCTGTTTTAGCCTCTTTAGCTCGATCATTAGAGTTAAGAAAATAGTCATCCTTACTCAAGGTGACGAGCAGAGCCAGACAAGGAACTTGAGACAGCGGACAAGTTCTGTTACCTGGGGTCTACCATCAGCTCTACTACATCACTTGATTATGAGATCAACATCAGGATGGGGAAAGCAGCAACAACTTTTGGAAGGCTGACAAAACGAGTACGGGAAAACAAAAGATTAACCATCAAAACAAAGATCAAGATTTACGATGCATGTGTCCTCAGCACACCCCTTTAGGGATCTGAAACAGGGACCTTGTACAGCAAGCAAGAAAAGCGCCTCGACATTTTCCATCTCAGATGCTGCCGCAAGATCTTAAGCATTTTGTGGAGTGACAAGGTTACAAATGTTGAAGTGTTGACACAGGCAAACCTCCAGAGCAAGACTGAGATGGCTCGGCCATGTCAAGAGAATGGACGACAACTGGATTCCGAAGCAACTTCTCATGGAGAACTTGCCCAGGGACAGAGACCAAGAGGAAGACCAAATGGAGGAACAAACACACCAGCAAAACGGCTTAAAACTAAGCTTGGGGTAAATGTTAGCACCTGGGAAGAAATAGCTGAGGAGAGGAAAATATGGAGGAAAATGATAAAGGAAAGAACTATAACGTTAGAGAGCAGCCTTAGAAACAACCAGGCTGAGAAGCGCCAACGACGAAAGGAAAACAGCAGAAATACAGAGCTTTGATCCACGTCACTGACAGCAAGCACAGCGACAGAATCTGCGCTTCAAACATAGGAAGAATTAGCCATGAAAGAACTTGCATGAAGACAACCTTGAGACCATCTTAAGCTAAACTGACTGTCTGCATAGACGAAAAGAGCCATACTTAAAGCCTGTCCACCTGCTTACTTTGCTTTCAATGAAAAAATATCCATTTATCTTGGATACAAGTCAAGATACTGGTGGTTGAAGGAGGTGGGGGTCGCCTAGTTTCAGAGGTAAAATTAGCTAAAAAATGACCGCCAAAGTTTAGCTATTTCCAAAGCTTGAGAGTCCATGGAAACCTAAAATTTACATCTTTTATGCCTATTTTCCACATTTTCCAGTAAAATTCCACACAGAAATGTATTCTTTAATGGGCATGCAAGGTGTTAACCCCCCCCCCCCCCCCCCCCAAGTCGATAAATAATTCCCAAACCGGCGGAAAAATGCCAGTTTCTTCACTTTCATTATTTTGACGAGCACCTGATTTCACCACGCTGACTCATATATATATATATATATATATATATATATATATATATATATATATATATATATATATAAAACAGCCAAACCTGTGTAAAACAGCATTCTATTGTCAAGTTGAAAAGTGGCCGTATAACACATGTGGACGTCTTAGGCAGGACTGGTCAAAATGAAGCAAGCAAACCAATCCATTCTAAGGTCAAAATCAGGGGCTGATCTCAGGCTTTGGACTGCAGTAAGGTGAATTTAAAAGAGTTTTTTGGTGCTTTTTTAAAGGAGGGTGGACAGTGTAAGAAGGGTTTTTTGTTTTTGTTGTTTAGTTTGTTTTATGGTTAGCTTTTTATATTGTTGCTGATTTTGTGCAAAGGTAAATAATGAACGTAAGACGATAAAGAGCAAGTGCCATGGTAAAACAAATATTGGGTTGCCACCACTCGGAGAACAAGCGTCTTTCTGTCACAAGCTCACGTTAACGTCCACTGTTACTTTGTAACAGATTAGGCAAACAAAACAGAGACCTAGGGTTCTCGTGGCCTAGAGGTTAAGGTATTTGCCTCTCATTCACCACGTCCCGGGTTCGAATCCGGATAGTGACGAACATTTTTCTTCTCTAAACTTGTCTTTTTCACCACCTTTCCTGCTCTCTAGCAATGTTCTGTCGTCTGCTTTTGTCTCCACTTTCTGCTCCCACCCCCTCACCTTCTTTATCCCCTCCTCTGGGCTCCTGACTCTTTCTGCAGCCTTTCTACTGCGTCACCTTGGCTCCTTTTTACAGTTGTCTTTCAGCCACACCTCTGATCTTATGGTAGGAAAGATCTACACCTAGCCTTCTTGGACAAGGGTAAAAAATCTCAGCGGTTCGTGTGCAAGTGCGTACATTAAAGATCCCTTGGTGGTCCAATATTGATAAGAGTAGGCTTAAGCCGCCATCGGGGTAAAATTCAAAACTTCCTACCAACTGAAAATGTTCAATGTGTCTCGTGCGCTCACATGACCTTATGCTGTTGCGAGTGCTGTAAAACAGTAACTTAAAAAAACCCAAAAAAATAGTGACCAGTCAGTCATCTCACATACAATTTGTCACTTGTGGATGGAGCTTTAATGTTATGACGGATCACACGCTTCCCTTACCAGGAGCTGAAAATTTATTGTTACCAAATGATCAGCTTAGGAAAACATTCATTGGAGAGACAAACAACAACGACAGGTGAATTTATTATGACGGCCCGTCCACAGCATCAGGGGTTGATTAAAAATTTATGACAAAGTTTCAAGCGACTCAAGACCACGCTTGGTCGCCTCAGGCAGATACACTCGGCTGTGGGTTGACAAAATAAGGTGGCCGTGGTCGCGTTAGAAAAGTGATAATATAACATAGGTAAATTATATAGAAAAAACGCAAGGGGGAAATGTAAAGTGGCTATTTGTACAGGTGGCCGTCATGGCAAGTTCGACTGTGTATATGTATATATATATGTGAGGCAGCATGGTGAAATCAGGCGCTCGTCAAAACAAAGAAATCAAAGAAAACTGCATTTATCTGGGTGTCGGGTAATTTTTTTTCAATTTTTTTTTGGGGGGCTCAACACCTTTTATGTCTTTCAAAAAACGTATTTCTTAGCAAATGTTACAGAAAAATGTTAGCTCTATTCTGGTGTTGACCAGATGACAAGGACATGTGGTTTATTGAGGGAAGCATTGTGCTGCCAAGAGCGAAACGCTCGCAGCTTAAGGGATTTGAAAACAACAACATACTAAAAAATGTACATTAAAGGCATGAAACATGTAAATTTCCAGTCTCCAAGGACTCTCAAGTTTTGGAGGTTACCAAATTTTGGTGGCTGTTTTTTCACTAGTTTTATCTCTCATACACCAGGCAACCCAACTACCTTCAATCGCAAATATCCTGACTTCAATTTAACATTAATGGGTATTTTTTTGGCCAAATGCAAGGCAAACGAATTAAGATGGTATTAATATCTTCTATATATGCCCAAAAATTGACGAGTGCCTAATCCCATGTCCGGAAAGAGTTTTAAAAGTCTATACCATTGGCATTGGTATGTCTTTTGGGATTTGGGACCAAAACCAGAGATTGCCAAAGTCAAGTTAGTCTGGGGGGAGGGGGGTTGTCAGTGGTGTTAAAATTCTGTCTTGTAATTCAATCAAAGGCTCTCGATATCTGACAGACCTCTCAAAAGTAGGCTTAACTTACATAAGGCTAGGTTATAGAAGATATCTCGAACTTGAACAAATTTCAACCTGTAGCATTTATTTGTAGAAATTAGATTTAGTTTCAATTTCAGTTTCAGATCATTTTGTTTTTATTAGAGGTATGAATTTGCAGTGTCTTTTCGGACATGGACACGATCCTAAAAACAATTTCTCCCTCTTTAAAAACATGTAGGCTATTGCATGTTGACTTACACCAAGAAAAGAAACAATCCCAATTGGTTTTCAACATTCTATATTAAATAGAAAAATAGAATGCAATTTTACGCAAACTGCAAATATGCATAAATGTCCAAAAAGAAAAAGAAGCACGTCATTCTCAAAAAGAAAAAGATTCACTATGTACGGTACTCGCATTCAAGCTAGGGTAAGGAGGACTAGTGCTGTGCGATTTTGAGGAAACAAAAATTCATCGAAGCGTCGAAGCGTGAGCTCACTATTCATGCTATTCGAATACCTCTGTTGAATGTTTCTTTCTCTGTAAGCGCAGACCTAACTTCCGCTATTCACCATTCACTAACTATTTACAGCGCCGTCAAATGGTTTTTTCCTTATGGAAGTGTATACAGACCCGGTAACCGGGAACAAAGTCACGAAGTATACAGACAGACACAGCAGGGGAAATCTTTTGAGATTTCGGAAAGTTTCAGTGCCCTCTTGATCTTGGCTCAAGGTAGACCCAGGTTCTTCTAGATCTATGGCCTAGGTCTAGATCATCTAGACAGACATAAATCATAAAATTTAGTTTCGAGGCCTAGATCTAGATCTAAACGAAGATTGCAGATAAATGTCTTTTCGATGAACGATCATTTTTTCTCCAATTTAGAGTTGGAGGAATCAACAATTTGAAGCAAAGAACAACATAATGTCATAATTTCAATCGAGCAGTCACCCTCTCTATTTAATTTCTGGTCTATTCTCCATCCCCCCCCCCCCTTCCTATCTCTCTCTCTCTCTTTTGTGTATTGCATGCCTTCTCTTTCTTTTTGTTTGTCTCTCTTTCTTTCTCCCCCTCCTACTTTCCCACTCTTTCTCTCGTTCCCTCCCTGTAAACTGGGGCATGTGATATTTGCTAGCACTTCCCTATGTTCTCTACCCCCTACTCTCTCTATCTCTCTCTCACACACACATACGTACACACACACACACACTCTACCGGGTCTGGGCGCTGAAACTTTCCGAAATCACAAAAGATTTCCCGTACCGGATCTGTATACTTCGTGACTTTGTTCCCGGTTACCAGGTCTGTATACCTTTTATTACCTAGATCTACACTTCATTTTCTTCCTACGTAGATGCTACGCCCAGATCTAACTTCCGCTATCTGAAGCGCCATTGAATTGTTTTTTCTTCTAAATCTCTAGATCTAGACCATCACTTTCAAAGTGCCAGTCACTGAGCACACGTATCGTTGTCGCAGACAGTGCAGTGTGATGAAATGACGTCACCGTTCATAGCGCACTTCAAATTTTGAACAGCCTAGTAGGGGAAGGGAAGCTTATTGCGACAGCTAATCTAGATCTAGATCTATAACTTCATAACTTTAACTTTAATGAGAAGAAAATACATTCACTGTGCATCAAGAGTCAACTGCCCTTGCTTGAACTATGCTGTGACGAGTGAATAGGCTAAGGTCAGGCTAAGGGATAGAATCTAGGCCCTGATATTCTCTGGCTAGAAGTACTAGGATCTAGATCTAGATCTAGAAGTGGTCTCTTCTCTCTTCAAGTCTCTTGTCTTGTCTCTACTCTAGACTAGGGTAGACATCTCTTGTTGGCCCCTCTAATGACTCTGTCTCGTAATCATCAAATAAAGAGTATTTCTGTATAAGATATATTAATTATATAGATCTAGATCTAAATAGATCTACCTGTGAGCAACGCTTGCACAACTCCATTACTGCCGTTGCTGATGTTCTGGGAGACTGCAGGTTCTGTCATCATCGCTGTTTCATCCGACATATTTCCACCGTTGCTCTCCGTTTGTTTAGAAGGTTGAATAAAAAAAGTAAACCGAGACAAAAATGTAAATTTGAAACTTGGATCGGCGTATTTCAGGGCAGAAACAATTTTTCCTTTGAAGAAAAAATAAATTAAAACACGTCGAAACTTGAGTAACTGCAAACTCGTCAAGTCATGTGTTCATATTTTAAAATAATGCAGAATCTTTTTTCTTTTGAAGATTAGTTCTTGCAAAATAATCCAAGCATTAATCCTAGGCTAAGCAGAGATTGCTGAAAGTAGATCTAATCTAGAGTCTACGAGCGATTACGGAAACTAACTGCTCGCGGGAAAGCATTGAATCTGCCGACTTAACGCGAAAACAGGGCCTCTAGGCATACTAGATCTAACTCTTTACTTGAAATGCAAGTGGAGTATTCCGCGAAGCCGGCGAGATTGGAGGCGTTCGTGCCTCAGCCAGGCATATGTTTTTTGTTTTGTTTTCCTGTTTCCTACGATTGTTTCCCTTTACGTCTCTAACCTTGTCCCTTCAACTTCAACTTTGGAAAAGGTACGGAAAGGTCATGGCCACCCAGACTCCAAACATCGTTTGGGGGAGGGGACTTGAACACGTCGAGTTTTACTATCGTATCCATACGACATAGGGAACTCTGTACCACCACTTTCCAAAGAGAGGAAATTTACTCGTTAATCCGATCCGTACACTTTGCATATAAGTCTGTCAAAATGATTTTTTGAGAAATACTGAAAGTTTCAAAGAGATCTTCGTACTAGAATCTAGTCTAGATCAAGAGCTGGAGATCTAGAGGTATTCTAAAATGTGAAGAATACAACCCAGGGGGTATAAAATGACCCCAGGGCGTATAGATATAGGGATAACGTTAAGATCTTGATAATTGCGTGTCTGCGTGTATTGTTATTATAGAGTAATGGCTTCATATTACCTTTTCCCGTGGCCCCCCCCCCCCCCTGGATTTTATATATTTTCTGCAGCAGTTATTCTCTTATTCTGTACGTGTAGGCTATTATTATTATTCTATCTAGAAAGTCGCATATGCGCCGGTAATCCTTCCCCAATATCAGTTGGGTTTTTCCTGGGGTTTTTTTTCTTAATCACTTTCTTCAGGAACAAATACACTGCAAATGTGCCACTATCTAATATGGAACCATGGATTGCAATATCTATTAATTCTTACCAAAGTTCCACTATCAAATAGGCCTACTAGTCCCACGCAGTTAATGAATAAGTATAGACCCGACCTAAGTTCTTATGATACATTCCCAGATGCGCCTCTTTAAGCATCTTTCTGTGATTTCTATAAATCACATGTATATTTAGGCTACCTAATTGTAGGCTTACCTGGAAAGGAACAGTTAACACCGTTTTGATTTCAAGAATTCCCTAGATCTAGCTGAACTTAGCCTTTCGTGAAAGTTTCGTTGAGTCAAAGAAAACATTAAACAACCCCCAGCACGATTTGATATAACGAATATGACACCGATGTATTGTGTTATTTGTTTTTAGTAAGAATGTTGCGACTTTCGCAAAACACGTGGCCTATAATTAAAATAAGGCCTAGATATCTAGATTTATATTGTGCCAGAATGTTACAAGAGAGTTACATTATAACAACAAGAAAGAAAATATAGTCGTAATGAAAATTGTTGCTCAAATCTGGGTTAGCCCAAGGAACTCTTATTAGTGTATTGGCTTTAGAATCCATTTAACAAAATCGTCTTCAAGTAAAGTGGAAAATTCAGACTCAAAGAACAAAAAAGAAGAACAAAATTCTCTAAGCTGGTAGGCCTATAATATATACTTCAAGCAAGTACGGAATCAGGGGAGGTAACCAATAAAACTATAACACTTTATGAAATTAGCAGTTTTATCTCGTGAACTGTCAAATTATCTTATGATGAGGGAACCAGTCGTGCATGCAAAAAGTGGTGCACGTGGGAAGCAATGCCCTATAATACCCCATACATAATTATTTTTGACGCTGTAATTCTTCCAAAACTTTTTTAAAAATTCAGAATTTCCCCAAAACTCATTCAGCATTCAGACTCAGAGTGAAAAATTACTTTTATCAGTTACACAATTTTGGTTTGTAGGATATCAATTTTTTTTTAAAGAGAAAAAAACATGTATCATGTATGTATGCATTATGGTACGAAACGATAGAACTTAAACATTAAAATTTGACCCCCAAAAATCCTGAAATATTTTTTTCTGGGACAAAGCAGC